TTGTATTAAACAAATTATTAGTATTACTTCTGAATGCGAAAATTGGAAAAAAAGTATATGTTAAAAATGTTATTAAATAATGTCGTTATCGAGTGCAGGCTCTGGTGGTATGTTGGGTGAACTGACAATGGTGCAATTATATGGAGTGGCCTTAACTGCCGGCAAAGCTCATCGGGATCATAAACACCACCATGCTCATCACTTTGAACATAATACCAATAACAACGTGCCACTCTCATCGTCAACAACACAAACACCGATTACAGGAATACCCCTCCCAATGAGCCCTTACCTCACCGGTGGACAGCTTAATCATCAAGTGATACCATTTTACTTTTTATACTATAAACAATTAATATTTTTTATTTTAATATCCCTTACTCGTAGTAAAAAAAAAAAACAATCAAAATGAGAGAGAAAAATGTTTCAGTTTTTTTTTTACATTTCAATTTAACGTAAACTTACAAAGATATAAGCAATTATGCACTAAGAATTTTAATTTTTACTTGCGAAAAAAAACGTAGAAAAAAAATAAACACTTTTCAGCTATTTATTTGTTCATTATCATAAGTATATTTGATTTATTTTCATTGCTAATTGATACAATGCATGACGGAAATATCAATATATGTTAAAAAAATTAAATTTATACTTAATCAAAGATTATTATTTTTGCTAATTATTTCATTGTTTATTGTTTTGAATCTATTGGATGATATTAATAAATATATATTTTTACTTACAATATTAAATCTTGTTTTCTCAATAAAACGAAATGGTGAATACATAAATACTTTCGAAAAATATATTTTTGAAAACTAGTGCATATTCGATATTTATGAGCAAAAATAAAACTTATTTACTCATTTGATTTATTTTTATATAAACTTCTTAAAAACCATAATAAAAAATTTTAACATTACTTTGAATTATTTTTATTAATCATTTATTTATTTATTTTATATAAAAAAACTCAATGATTTAATCTAAATATATGAATCAATAGTTGATAATAAAATGACAAATATAAAAAAATAACGATATATAAAAATAATACTGCATTATAGATTTGAATATCGAGTAAAATAATAAAAATTGACATTAAGATTGACCAAAATTAACTATATTTTACGTGAATGTAAATAAAAAATTTGTATTTATTTTTAAATTTTCTTGATTTATTTTAAGGTAAAAATTAATCCAGGAGCACACATTCAGATCGTCCAAAATGGCGTTACGCTTCGTCATCCAAATCTGCCTGTACCTCCGGCATCTCCACAGCCCTTGCCCCCGGCGATTTTACCTATCCAACCAACGTCTGAACCAAACATAAATTCTTTGCCAGCTAATTTACCCTTCGATTTTGCCAAAACTTTAGTGGGAATAGGAGGAATTAATACCAACAGAGGCGCTAGCACACGATTTTTTACGTCTGCTTCAGATTCACCTGTTAATGGCTTTAGCTTCGTTGATAGGCGTTACCGCAATGTTGAAACTGGTAATATCGAGACTCTTAATAAGACAGGGAAGGAACAAAAGACGCAAGATGATGATGTAAGTGATGAGGTTCAGAGGATGGTGAATCATATTGAACTTAAGAAAATTGCCAAACGAGATAATTTAAATAATGGCCAGAAACAAGAGGAGGATAAGGTATTTATTACAAGTTACAAAACACTTAATTAGAATTAATTTTTTTATTTGAATTTTAAATATCTTACTATATTCTACTTTAGGTAATTATATAATATAAAATTTTTTGAATATTTAAAAAGTGATTATTTAAAAATAAAATTAATTTATCTTATTGTTATAGAAATAAACCGAATTGTAAACTTTTAAATTTAATTGGAAAAATTCCACAAGAAAATTTAATAGAATTATAAACCTTATGTTACATAAGATACTGTGACATTAATTTATAGTCTCAGATTTCAAATTTGTATACATCTTAGATTTAGTTAGCATAGTTTTATCTTAAATTTCAGTTTGAGATCTTATTAAGAAAGAGCTTGTGTTTAAATTTCTACTGAAATTTTATATAAAATTAAGTTTTCTAGTTGAATTTCTTCTAAATTCTTTAATTATAATTTTAATTATAATTTCCTGAGATGTTTAAATTACCATTATTTTATAAAGGAATTATAAATTTTAAGAACATTTATACATAAAAAAATTTATTAATAATAATGAATTATTACAATGTGAAATAAACACTTAATAAAATTAATTCGATATAATTTATTGATAAATGGAAGAGTGTGGACGAGATAAAAGATGCATCAAGATTAAGGAGAAATAGTGACAATACAACATTAACGTCGAATCAAAAGAAGCAGAAGCGCGGTCTAGTATTTGCCGACGGCTCGGTTATCGATGATTCGTACATTCAACAAATACCACAACAATTATTAACCGATACTAACGGTAACTACTTTAATGGTTTAACTAGCTTCAGTCTATCTCCAATAATACAGCAGAAAAAAAAAGATAAAGAAGAGGAGCGAGAGCCTGCCGAAGAGGAAGTCAAGCGAGTTATGAACATTTGCAACGGATGCACAGAAGAACCATTCGAAAAGGCCATTATCATGGCTTGGAGGACAGTACCCAAGAAACTTTATTCGGGAGCTCTCCACGTACCTGCTAATCAAGCGTGCAAGGCATTTTGAATAATCCTCAATTACCGTATAAGCAATTTTTGCAAGGTAGCATTTTAGTCTTAAATTTGTTCAAATTTAACTTGATATTTTTTAAAATTTTGGTATTTGCGGTTCTTATTTCAAACAAAATTTTAAAGAAAACGAAACAAATTTTCGACTTTAAAATTTTTTAAAATGTTTATATGACTTTACCTTTCAAAAATGTCTGTGCGATAATATTTTAAATGCAACATTAGTAATTAATTAACTTAAAAATTAAAGACAATTATCGAAAATTAATTGTCTTGATGTAAGTAAATATTATTTATTAAAAGAGATTGAATTAATTTTTTTAGTTAACAAAAAAACATTCGTTCATCTTGTTATGTTTAAGTTAAATTCAACTAATAATCTGTATTGAATCAAAATTAATTAATATATGAGAATGTATTATACTTTTAGTATAAATAGTAAAAAATTGGTAAAGCTTGTATAAATGTTAATCTAATGATTTCAATTATTAAGAAAATTATAACTCATAAAGTGTTAATAATATTTACTTGAATGCTACCTTAAATGCATACAGTAATTTTTTTTTAATTAAATTGTGACTGAAATAGCTTCAAATGCCATATGTCACCGAAACTATTCTGTATATCTCGCTTGATAATATAATTTTCATTCAGTGACAATTAATTCAGCCGCCTAGTAAAGATGTAGAGACGTACGTAAGCATAGATATTAATTTATTTATATAAAGGCGTTTTCACTAAAATTATTCTTTATAAAATAAACATAAAGAGAACATTTTTTACCAATATTATTCAATATTGTCTTCCATATACGTATGTATATATATATTTGGTTTTAGTATAAAATTATAATAATACAACATAATAACATCATAATAATATAGCATTAATATGAATTCATAAAAGTAAAAAAATACCTTATTTCAAAAAGAATTTAAAAACCATTTTATGTACACCGTAATTCTTATGTAATTCTTATGTAAAAACGATTTGACTGGTAAATAAGTACAAAATTACTTTATATTGAATTATAAAATAATTAAAATTTAAAAGACTATTATAATTATATAATTATAAAATATATACTTAAAAGTTAGTATAAAACATATAACTAAAATTAAGCTTGTAAAAATTTGATTAAAAAAAATGAGAAATTTACAATTATAATGACAAAATACTTTTTAACGGAGCGATTTTAGTTGGAAATTGACTTTCATCAGTATTTTATGCTATTTTTATGTATTATATTAATATATATATATATATATAAAAAAATCTAATTTCTATTTGTATACAAATAATTTTATTTTTATTGTCAAACATTTTCTTTTATTTACAAAAAGTCAAAAAACTTGAGATATAAAAATTCCCCATTCATATAAACCAAATGATTATCTTGTACTTTCATTTATTTATTTCATTACGGTTTTGTATGCGAATGTTTTGTTAAAAAAATAGCGGTTTAATGTATATTAACAGAATACACTGGCGAAGAAATTTTTATCGACTAATACATGTATCTGAATATAATAATTATTATATATAAAATGATGAAAAATAATTATATTGTTGCAGCTTGTAGACGAAATATTCGGAGAATCTAAATTTTTCGTTTTTGAACAGAACTAAATAAATAAATTTATAGTTGTAATTTAAAATTCGGATTTAGATTAGATGTAATTATTTTAATATTATTACTAAAATACAGATTAATTAATCTATTTTGAATTACTTGAAATTCTTTGTTATAGTTTGAATCTACGAAATTCACAACGAGTCCGAATGTTATAAAAAACTGATAAATAAATATAATATATAACATTATAAATTCAATGTTTATTATACTTCAATATAAATATAAATTCGTTATTTGTACGTAAATAGAATGAAAATTTTAAAATATATTTTAGTAAAAGAATTTGTAGTTATATACACAATATATTATATGGTAATTTTTTTATAAGCTTATATTGCTACATATTTATATTTATATATATATATATACATATATATATATATATATAAATTTCTTATCGTATATTAATTATCTTACATCATGTATGCATATATAAGAACTTTTTTTTATATGGTGTCGAGTTAATTATAATTCTTCGGTTTTTCACTGTCATGTATGCATAAATACTTATTGTCCATAAATTTTCCTTGTTAATTATTATGTGGATCATGAATGAACTTTTTACTTATAATAAATTAATTATATTTCAAAATGTTTCAATTATATATTATTATTAAATTTATTAAAAATTTGTATATTATAGAATATTAGCATGATGTAATAAAGTAATTTACAAATCCATAATCTACTTACCTTACTCTTGTGGATGTGTTGATGCTGAAATTCACTATCAAACTCTGGTTCACTAAAATAACTTGGATCCTCCCAATGAGAGGGTAGCATGGGACCACCAGGAACTCTAAGAGTTCCTGGCATTCCGGCAACACCATCGCTTTCAAAAAGTCGAAGTACACTGCGATCTCTGATATCCCGTAAATGTGATCTACGAAAATATTCAATTTAAGTAAATTAATTTTAAAAACCAATAGACCTATCTAAGAACAATATAAATAGAACACAATGATATTTAAATCAAATAAGAAAAGAAGAGCGAACCTTAAATCTTCTAATTCGTAAAACATATCCTTGTTGCTGTCGTGAATATAGATTTTAACATGAGGACTATCCAAATACTCCATAGTAAGTTGTTTAGGAAAACTTCTGACAAAAAGAGCCTTAACCGTATCAATACTTGTTATTTCATTAGGTAGTAAAGCTCTTTTAGTTTCATTTCTATATTGCAGAAATACCAGGCCTGAAAAAAGCTTCCTTTCAGTATTTATATATAAATATATATCAGAATAATAATGAAATAGTAAACTAGCATATTTCATTTAAATATTTTGGAATAGAAACTCTAAAAGCAAAGGTAACAGAATTTTTAATTTTTATATTAATTTTTAAATTATCATAAAAATTTTCTCATTTAGTTTTTACTTATTTATAAATACTGTGTAGTTAACGAGTCAAATCTGTTTATTTCAAATATTCTGTATATCTTAAATTAAATCCAAAATAATACGCTTTTTAACTTATAATAATAAAATCCTTAAAAATACTAATATTTGATGTTTGCATTATTACATCAATTTTATACTTCTCTTATAAATATCTAATAATTATTTAAGGTGAGTTTGTTGAAATATTTTAAAATGATTAGACATACAGACTAGTAAATCATTATTACTTTATAATAGTTTATAATCTACAATGAAGACAATTTTTTAATCATACAAATATACGTGCAAAAGGAAAATGAAAGAAATTAATAATCAAACTAATAATAATAAAATTATTTTTAATAATAATTTCGTTTAATTAAAGGTAATATGCGTTAATAATATAATAAAATAATACCTAGTGGACGTTCCAAAGTCTTACTGGGAGTCCGTACAACCGGCAAACTGCTTCTTTGTTTGCCACCCCGACGAAATCCAGTACTTGACGTCTCCACTTCGGACATAATTCCTGGATCATCATCGAAAAGCATTGCTGAAGATGGAGGAGGATACCCTCGTGGAAGAGGAGACTGAAAATTTATAATGTATATTCATCAACTGTTAATAAAAGAAATGATCTTTTTAAATCCAAAATAATATAAACTAAAAGTCGCTAAATGCAGCCTTATAATTAATTTGTTTACTACAGTAATAGACAGCTACGTGTCTTAAAGGATCTATTTAGTTTAATTAATTATATTAATTTTTGTCTCGCATTTTATTTTTTTGGTCATATTTTATGGTCCTAATTCAACAATATTTTATTTTTTATTTCTGATGATGATTGTGTATAATTTTAATTGTACAAAATGTATAGAATAAAATGTTTAAAGTGATTAAATATTAGTATCTATTTATATTGCGAACTAATTTAATTCCAGTTTTCTCTTTAAATTTATTTTCTATGTGAATATTTTATTAGATTTTGTTAAAAGTAGAAATCTAAATCTGAATACATTTATAAACTATAAACTATACCACCAAGAATTTATTGTCTTAATATTTTTAAAATTAAATAAATTTCTTAAACGTTGCATATGAATAATTTAAATTTTGAATTTAATTTTATAACGACATAAAGAAAATATAAGAAAAAAGCGAAATATCCTCATAGTGTTACTAAAAATACATTACTCATGCAAGATCATACAGTCAAAATTACAATACAGTCGGAATGTGTTAGTAATAAATTACCTTTCTTTGACGAGACTTGGTTCCCATCTGATAATGTAGAACAATGGAAATACACATAAATTGTAATTAGACGGATGAATTATATAAAAAAAATTATTAGTTATATAGAATGTACACACAAGTAATAGCAATAAAACATTAAGTGAAAAATTAATTATGTAAACGTTATTCACTAGTAAAAAAAATGAGTATAAAGATATAGAATTAAATAAATGTAGAAAAAAATTTATAAATTTGCTAGATAATTACTTCTTATGAAATAATACTTTTGTATTTTGTATAATTTCAATACTTTTTTAAATTATTTTAATAAAATTTTAATATAATTCAATAATCTTAATATGCGATATTGATACATTATTTTATTTCCAATTTTCATAATTCATTTAGTAATATAATTTACGGATATTTCTATTAAATAATAAAAAAATAAATGTGATATAAACATTAATGTTAGCAATAAGAATCATTCAATAAAGTTGTAAAGACAATCAATTTTAATTTTTAGTAGCAAGAATTTTATTTTTTATATTATCTTAACAGTAATAAACATTAAGTATAAAATAATAATACATCAATTATATGAAAGATATATATAATTTTATAAAAAGTATGACCGATACCTATAAACTCATCTATTTTGGTACATATTAATTAACACTGTTCTAACTGATTACTATTATAGAGTTTGTCCATGGTAAAAATGAAATTTTGTAATAAAAACGCCATTTTAGAACACTGTATTTCGATATTGTGATTTTAGTTTTGAAATTAAATTGTAATATTGTACATTGAAGCAAATATATTTCTTTTAAACGTAAGTAATGATCGAATAATAACAAAATGTCCAATCACAAATTTTTTGCACTATTTTACAATTTATCTTTTGTATATTATTATAAATATATTTCTATATTATAATATGAATTACAATTTATTTGTTATGTTTATAAGTGTATATGAATTGTTATAAGTATTTATTGAAGTTGGCAGTCGATTAAAATATTGCTTCTTTTATTATCGATTTTTAAAATATCTATAAAATATATATATGAAGAAGTATTTTATTATATGAAATATATGAATTTATAAATATATGAAAATTAAATATTAAATATATGAAATTTATGAATTTATAAAAGTTACACAAAAGTTACATGAAATCAAGGAGTGTAGGATTTTTATAGGAATAAAAGTTCTATTGTTGTACATGTATTTTGCCTATATTAAGAAACCTGCATATCGTTAATTTTTGTCAGGTAAAATTTACACGCGCGCATTCACTATTCATTCTACCCACCTACACGCGCGCGCGCGCGCACACACATATTTATATATATTTGTATTACAATAATTTGATATAATAATCAAATTAAAGGTTGAAATCTATTTGAATTATAATAATTATAATAATGCAATATTGAAAAACATTTATGTAATTAGCGCTTGGTAAGCTTACTTTTTAATAACTATTTGCTTTCATTTTTATTCTTAGAAATGGAAATTGATTAAATACTAATAAATGAAGCAGATTTGTACCTACAGTACATGTTCAGATAAATTAAATAAAGTTAGTAAATTAAATTACCGTAGGGATTAATGTAGCCAACGTTATTATTGTCATTAAAAGATTTTGCTTAAGAGCTTCACAAAATTTTCGGGCATTTAAATTATTAACAATTATTACAAATTCCATTCAAAATTCCATTAAACATAAGGTTTCCAAGTTCTTTTTAGGGCAAGTCCATCAATTTATAAAATTCAATAAAGTATATGTGGTATGTATGTACTTTACCATATACCGGCTTTGCAAGGTTATTCATAGAGAGCGGATCATTTGGGTGGCAAAAAGTGTGCATGGGCAAAGCTTATAATCAAAAGGAAATTGTTAAAGCACGGCAGGTCACCTCAAGATCCATAGTGGTGTGTCGGGCTGAGGGCCCGTACTGGCTGTGGGGCGGTGGTAGGTGCCGCGGGTGTAGGGGATGAATCGTCTGGCCCGAGGCAGCGCCGACCACCGCGTTGAACTGCTGGTGATGCAACAGGGCGTTTGGTTGATGGTCGCCGCTGAGGGTATGTCTGCGGAGTTCGTCGCGTGAGCGCCCGCCCCCGACCCCGCCGGTCCGGCCTTGGGTCCCCAAGGCGGCCCCACCGCCGATCCCGATGTCAACACCCCCGATGCGCCTGCCAGGGTGATCGTTAGGCCCTTCACCCTCCGCCTTTCCTGTACCACCTGGAACATAGGGCAACGGGTGTCGTTAGACGTTGTACTGGATCTATTGAATTTTTAAAGCAGCTGCAAATTTGACAGCTCTACGATCTAAGTTCCCTTTGTATTTGTTCATCGAAGTCAATGCATTCTCGTTACATTCTTGAGGTAAATAATGGATTTATAACATTCGAGATTTTACGAATTTACGGAACAAAAATTTTTTATATCCTGAGACAGCAATCCTTTTTTACCTACTTCTTATAATGATTACAACATATTAAAACAGCAGCTAATTTAAGAAAGTGCTAATTTTCTTATATTCTTACACATGAACTATATAAAAAAAAAAATAATCAAACTATATATTTCTCTTTTAGCATTTATCGTATCTTTTTAACATTAACAGCTATATGACTCTTTTTTTAGAATGGAAATAATAGTTCTGACACAATAACAAGCCGATACAATATGTTCTTACGATATTTTATTTGATATGTGATTTGAATACTTTTCTAGAAGAATATATTACATTAAAACTAATAAAATAACAATAAAAACATTAGGTAATATTCAAAAACTTCCTTTTTAAGAAATATCACAGCCTGCATTTAGTTATTAATACATATCCCTTTGAAATATTTGTATTATTTCTTTTGTTATAGCGTAATGATAAGTTTCTACGTGCTGCACGAAGAAAAGTCACGAAAGAATTGTTCACTCTATTAAATGCTTCATATAAAAAATAATCGTTTACAATCAATACACGTAAAAATATTTATTATTAAATTCTGGACACTTTTTCTGAAACACAAAGAATTTCATAAGACCTATTTCGTATTAAAAAAAAAAAAAAGAAAGAAAAAAAAGAAAGAAAAAAAATCTTTCTAATATTATATTGTAATATCAACGCAAAATATATTTTATAAATATATTTATATAATATATAAAAAAAGTAAAGCATCAAATAATATAGCACTCTAAATTTCTTTAAATAATTTCATTTTGAATGTATATTGCAAACAACTTACGTATCTACATTTTATAATTCATTGATTATTTAAACAATTGTAAATAAAGCACTATTAAAATTTTAGTTTCATTGAAAAAAAAATTAGACTTTTATATAAAGCATTATCTATAGTAATGTAACTTATATTATTAATATGTGTAAGCGAATAGTTTTTATTTAATATCGTTCCATCCGTTTTGAATTAATGGATAATTTTTCTTAATCGAATGTTTCTAGTTTATAACTGTAGTTTGCACATATAATAGTTTATGTATATTTTATAACTATCTGTTAAACATTAACTATCTGCTCATTCATAAAATTATACATTCAAATTAGTTTGAATACATTTTACGAATAAACAGTTAAAAAAATTTATGCACAATTTATACGATTAAATATTATTCTAATATAGATTAATAACTAATCTTTTATAAGTGTCTTGTTTAAGCGTATATTAGGAAAATTGTTATCATAAATGTTAATCATGTTTTTATTAGAAATTAATAAAATTACTTTCAGTTTTATGACAAAAAGTAAATTAATTGCTTTATTTAAAATGATTAAGATCAAATTTAAATAATTAATAACGATTATATTTCTTAATATTACAAATAAAAATTGATTTATCATTATTGGATAGCATTGTTCATTAGTTATGAAATTGATGCAACATATCTTTAAGGTCGTAAATATATATTTAAAATAATTTCATATTCAACATGTTTCAACAAATTCAATTTGGACTTCTAACTTAATTACTAATAGATATTGTCAAAGCTATTGGATATATTTCTAATTTATACATAATATAAGCAATAAAGTTCTAAATCTTTAAACAGCGTTGTAAGTTTGCAATTGCAATTTAAGAATTAAGATATATTTACAATATACGTTAATGTTTAAAACAATCACGGTCACAAATCTATTCTTTACAATGATTGAATCACTGATGTTTATGAAGATATGACGTTGTTCGAATATCTGTTTATCTTATTCATCCATGCCCATATCAAATGATCTTTAAGTTATGGAACATTGTAGAATTAGTATTGGTGTTGTAAAATTCAGATGAGTTCAGTTTAGTAATAAAGGAAATTGTACAATAGTCAATCTTCTTAATAAATATTCAGCAAGAGTATTGAATCTAACGAATATTTTAGCGTATCATTTATTTTGTCTTTAATGATGAAAGTAATATTATAATTTATTAAAAAGAGAGTAAGTCGTATTCTCGAAAGGCTAATTGACTTTTAAGGGCGTGAATAGTATTTTTGAAGCTTCAACAATCGAATGACGTCAATAGTACTACAATTTTTTTACGATATTCGCAAAGATTAAATTTTTGCATCTACTATGCATATTACCATTGTCATGTTTATTATTTACGCATTACTATTGTTGCTAAGTAATTATAATATTATTAATGGAAAATTGTGTTTAAATTCGATACTTAACATGTATAAATTCGATAGATAATTTATTTATGATCCTACGTAAGTGATTTATCAACATCGTAATATTAATAGTTATCGATTTTAACGATGCTGAAATTCGCGGATTCTGCGAAATGCTGAATAATCAGACTGTTAAGAGCTCACCGAATGCGAATATCACATTAGGCTAAGCATTATGAGGAACTGTTAAGATAACATGCGATGGAAGAGGCTTTTAACGAATGAGAAAGGAAGGACGCGTGAAATATTTCTCAAGCTCAATTGAACTGTACGGAGAAGATATGGCCACGAGTGAAAGATGCTCTAGTTGAATATTAAATGAGCTGTCAAGTCTCCACTCTCCAAACGGTCGAACATTTACTTTCTACGTGTCCTGCGTGTAGGCCGAGATGGACAAAAAATCTATAGCTCGCTCGCAAGTCGTGGAGGGTAGCTTCTGCTGAATACGCTTAAGCGGAATGTACGTGCGTGCTCAATGCGAACTTATACATATATTATTGGATGCGAGAGTGGCATTGCATGCGTGTAGCAGTAGGGTTGCGGCAAGCGGAACATCGAGGGGGCAGGAGGGGGCCAAAAGTGGCATCCAGCGCATGTAAGGGGGCCGCGAGTCGAGACCGCGATCCGCCGCCAGACAAGACAAAGTGCAAAGCTTGAATCGAAACGTGGTAGGCAAGCTTGCAGAAGCCGCCACACGGCATGAAAAGTTCCAAGAGAAAGAGCAGTATTGCGGCATAGACGTAGTGCCGGCTACGATGATACGTACTATTAAACGAAACTAGGTAGTTGATTTAGACGGAGCCAGAGGTCAAGAAACAGAGAGAGAGAGAGAGAGAGAGAGAGAGAGAGAGAGAGAGAGAGAGAGAGAGACATATACCCAACACGCATAGTGGATGATACAGAAAACAGAGAGGTCTTTGAATGCCTTACTTACATCTCGTACTCTAGGAATTCGTTACAAAGCGATTCCGCAGGCCTGTTAAGAGCCCGTAAATCACTTTTACGGATCGGAGAGTCAATTTCGCGATAAACGGTATGCGTTAAGAAAGAGAAGAAGCGGTGGCGACGGCTACGACAGCAATAGCAGCAGCAGCAGCAGCAGCAACGATGCAGCGGTGGCGACGGCGTCGGAACAACACTTCAAAGTCTAATGAAGATTATTGTTTAGCGGGCTGCACTAGAGTCGAGTCATTACCTCCTGCGGGTATCGTATCACTAGACGCGTGCACTGCTCGCGACAAGCCTCACGCTATTTAATAATCTAACTCGAAAGGATGTAGCTACCCAAGACGGCTTCTTTGAGAATTACGAGAATACGATGGAAAGGGAGGAAGAGGAAGAGGAGAAGGAGGAGATGGTGGAAGATGATGATGAGGCGTCAGATTCGGTCCCCGTTCATTATCTTTTTTTTTTACGTTGCGTTACAGAAGACTGACGTTGCTACCACTACTTGACTGGCCGGTCATAAAGCATCATTATTGCTATGGCGCCGGGGTGACTTCTGCTAAGCCCGCGGCTTTTTACGTTTACTATTCAAGATTTGACAATCAATATGAGCTATCCGGTGAACCACAGCGCGTCGACAATCCGTCGATGTCAACGTTGGGCCGTCTAATCGTCGACTGTCGTGCAACGCCGCGTCCTCCGCTTGTGCGCTCGCGCACTCTCGTCACGTCTGCTCTCTCTCACTCTATATATATATATATATATATATATCTTTGTCCCCCTCTCTCTTGTACGCGGGCTACTCGCGCACTCGCACGCGCGCTCCCAATCATTCTCTCTCTCTCTCTCTCTCTCTCTCTCTCTCTCTCTCTCTCTCTGTCTTTAAAGCGAGCCAAATATCCGAGTTACGCGTACTGACGGTATGATCCGATGCAAGCAGCGATGGTCCAGTCGGGAGATTCGGCGAAAGTGACACAACGGCTACGCCCGCGAAAAAGAAAGATTTCACGATCCAAGATTCAGAGACGAAGTGACTCGGTAAGTGAAAATAGCAAATGATTGTACGATGAGATAACTCCACGTGGACCAGTACACAGACGGGATATAGCCAAGTCGAAGCATGCGATAAGTGCACAGTAGGGTGTGGCTGACGTAGTGACGAGCCCCATGGAGTTTCAAGCGCAAGGGCGAGGCTTATTTGAAAAGATGTTCGGGTGGTTGGACCGGCGTCCGATAGGGGCGCCACTTTCGCCGCGATACGGTCTCGCGCTACCCTCTAGCCGTTCCGCCATCTACATGGCAATTCTGGAACTTGGCTCAACACCACCACTACCTTCTTAACGCATTCTAACTTACCGCCTGTCCAATAGGCAGGCAATTGTACGTAAGTGATGGAATGTAGGGGTTACGGGCGGAGAGCGTAAGTAGAGTATAATTGAAGATTCTTGCCCCTCGCTCACGTCGAATGAAATTGTCTGTATGAATAAACCTTCGAAATTGAGGCTTGAATAATTAACAATGCAGCGATCATTAATCGAAAATCAGCTTTATCTATGTACGTACATCGAGCGTTTATTAATCTATTAAATGAGTTCGAAAAAAAAAAATGTTACTGTAAACATTTGCAAGCATACTAGATTATAATATAATATATTTTATCACCTTTTTTTCCTCTTTCTTTTTTAAATAAAAATTAAATAGACATACTTTTAATTACTAAGAATAAGCAGTGACGAATGAATGAAATATTCAGCGAAGACAATGTACGGATGTTAAGGCGCATACTCTTATCTGATTAATATCCTAAGAGTAGCATCTCTTATTATAAAAATAGTCAGAATCGTAAAACAAGAAATTATTCAAATTTGCTTATTAATCGTTTGAATAATATAAAATTGTATACGTATATACGAATAATATGCGTATAATTGTAAAAAATAATTTTCAATTTTCTTTCATTTATCGCAGTATTTATGCAAAACATTATTTCTAAATAAAACATCAACATTAGTAATGGATAACAATGAGATCTGTTTTCTTCTTCAATCTTGTTAGTAAATTTCTCAAATTGGTTTTGTTTATTCGAAAATACAAAATGATTGACAAGAAAGATAATAATATTTAAGAAGCAAAGTAATAATTTTTTGACATTTATTACTGTATATTTAATTAAAAAATATGTTTATTTAATTCCATTATAGTTTTGTTTATGTTCAATACTTTGTTTCTTCTTATATTATAGCATTATTATTTCGTAATGGATTGGTCTCAAATAATTGTAATACAGTTTCAGAACTTGCAGTAATTTGCAGTAATTTCATTAGGACTTTTTAAAAGTGAACCACGAATCTTCGTGAGTTTTAATTATTATAAGTTAATAAATTTATTATAACAGTGTCGAATTACTATTGATTAGTCAGTTTCTCCATAATAAAGGACTATATTTATTTCAAATAATTTATTACATAAGTAAATGATCATTTTAATAATGTAATTATAAAAAATTTTTCATAAATCTATCGCACTATAATGCTTTACGTCGATATTCAGTAATTTTAGGCAACTTGTTAAGTTCTAAAATTAATCTTGTACACGATGTAATGACTAATGGTATAATAATATCATTACCATAATGACATGTTAAAAAAATTTTGTTTTCATGCGAAAAACTTCGAATTCAAATGGCTGACGTTCGTTCAATTGGTATTTTTATTATGTAGGAAGAGAACACAAAAAACAGAAACTAATTCAAATGAAAGTAATTCAATAATTTTACTCACCACTTTCATTTGAATAGCGATTCTTGCCATCTGCATTCCACTCTTCTTCTGTAACAAGAAAAATTTATCAAAATAATACAGAAAAATTCCTTAAAATTTTTCGAACGTGAATTGTTTCAATTGGTGATTTTGAACCATTTCTTATTATTAGAAAAATCCGAAAAAAGCAAATGAAGAAATACTATGAATCTCTGTATCAGCATGTAAAAGGTCAATAGCGCGACGATTAGTGAACTTAGCACGTTATAACAATTTTGATTTATTTTATTCCCATTCGTTGAAAGAATATACTATGATATACTACTAATATACTATTAATAAAAGAATATACTTGTAATTTTCAAATTCAATACCGTAAACCACCATATCAATGTATTGAAAGTACTATGTCATGACATTTTAAAGGCACATTCATTTTATTACAAATTCCTATATTCTTACAATATTTATTTTACATAATAGGAGATTCATACGGTTCCATAGAAATTTTAAGTCTTTATAAATAAATACTTAAGCAGAAACCTTCACGAGTCCAAAAGGTGCAACTAACTAACAATGCTTATAATGAATACTCCATAAATACCTGAAAGCATTTTCAATTATATTGAAATGACCATTAACTAGGTAATAATTAATTACTTGGCAACTCTTAATTTGAAAAGTTTCAGAGAAAACGTCCTGATATACTCATCTATTATAAATAGATTCTTGAATTAATAAACATTTAAAATGTTGTGCAGACTAAAAAATCAGACTAGAAAAATCTACGTTTCACAAAGTCATAGTTTTCGACTTAGTTTGAAAAAATGTGAATCGTCAGACATTTATGTTAAAAGATCTAAAGCAACATCCATCGAGAGAAAGTTACCTGAAGTTTCCGAATTAGAATCAGGTGTTGATCTAGCATCCACACTGTTCCTTGAGCCTTGGCAACATTCGCTACACTTGCTACACATTTTTCACAGTTTCAATTTTTATCCGGTGGTCAGTCAATTACTACCCACTCAATTTCAACTGCAATCGCGCACAAATTTTCATATACTACGTCATCAAAAATTAAGAATCTTTTTTCAATGCGAAGGTAGCAATAGGAATCATGAGGTTCAAAAACAAATCTGTTGACAATATGCTTGTGACGAATAGGTAATGGTGTAAGCTTTAGATCGCGAAATCGGAAAAAGCAGAGCTGCATGACGGCTTATAAAAACTGTAAAATGAGAGTGAGAGCAATAGAAAGAACTCATCAGATTTCGAGAGGCAGGGCTTAAAGCTTAAAGACGACTTATAAAAGGAGTTACTGTAGCAGAGGAGCTAATAACGATGATATTTGATGACCGTCCATCCGCGCCTATATATATTTTACTTGTGAATCGTTTGCTTCTCACACACTTGCACTTAGATGTGGAGAGGTGGACGGAAACTGAGCGATTACTGGGTCAAAGGTACGTAACCTAGTTTTATGTTCGCAGTCAGGCAGAAGAGCGCAGGAACAACCGCGACGGAAACGCGTCGACGAGGGAGATGGAAGCGGAACTGCCGACAATACGCATGCGCTCATCAGCGCTTTAACTTTTGTATGTGCATTCTCGACTTGACTCACCTCTTCTCGAAAATCGATGCAATTTTACTTTGCATACTTATTTATAAGAATTTTTGAAGTTCTGACTTTTGTCAATATTTAACATTTTAAGAAGGGACGACTTTTCTGAATTTGAATATAAATAACAAATTATTTCATTATCGGCATTAATATTCCAATTGGTTTATCATGTTTGGAAGCTTGATTATTTAATTGAGAATATATGTTGAGAATGTATAATAAATTTCGGAACAAAATTAAAATTGTAATTTAATTTTAAGCGACTGAAAAATCAATCAATTTTATACAAATATATTGTGTATCAATAATAAATTATTTTTAAAAACATTTTATACCTACTGAAATAATCACTTAACATTAAATTGACAAGTTTTAAGTTCTTAAACATATATCTTCAAAAATATTCATTAATTCAAAATTGAATTCCATTAAATCAGTTCAAATTTAGTTTTCCGATAATTTTAAAGATAAAAATTTTGTAATTTTTGATAACAAATGGTTTGTTATTATTTAGATAAAAAAGAAAAATATTTTTTGCTAATTTGATGAGTTATGTATCTAATTTGATAAATACAATTTTTGTAAGCTTGTTGTACTCTTTATCTATTTATATTTCCTTATTTTTATTAAAGCTGCCAAGCCTTAATTGAATATTACTTCATACATAATTTAAAAAATGAAGAACTACATTTGTATTCACTACAAATATGCATGTGAACATATATTACTAAACTATTATTACTATTACATTACCATATATTATTTTATTATATACAGAAAAATAAAAATCTTGTCATATAAAAATGATTAAGTGCTTATAAAAAACATTATGCTTCGGTGAACTTATATTGAACTAATTATGTCCTTAATATTATGAAATCAGTATTATAACTACACTCTCATAGTTTTATACTATATATACATAAATTTCAGCTTTTCGAAAGTTTCGGATGGATTTAAAAAAAATGTCATATATAATTACAGGTACAAAGTGAATAGAATATATTAATATATTCATCCTATTTAGATTTGCTACGAAAAATACCCCTGATACTTTGACTGTAAATAAATTTTTATTTGTTCTTTGTATAATGAATAAATAAAAATTCATTATTAAATTGCCATTCCAACACTCACATATTTTTGTGTTTGATTTTTCTCTATAACAAATAAAATTGCTTTAAAACGTACTCGTACGCAATTTATTTTATACGATGGTAAAGTACAATTTAAAATGAAAATGAATGTAATGTTTTAAAGTGCCAAATTACAAAGCTGTCACAGACAGACGAATGCCATACGTCGATCGACTATAATTAATCTGTGTGATCGAAAGGCTTCATTTTACTGGTGTGTGATAGCGATGCTATTCACTGTGTATACTAAGAATCAAAGTATTAAAATATTTACAATTTTTAACTTTCTTAAATTAGAATTTTATTATTATAATTTTATATATGAACATTAATAAAACGGAGGTAAAATCATTACGACTTTTTTGTTTATATATTATTCAAATAAATATATATGATAAATTTCTATTTTGATAAAATCAAGAAGAATTTTATAATTCGTTATCTAGTATATCAATACTTTTATCTATTGAAAATAAAAAAAAAGGGGGGAAATAATTTACGTAACAGTTGAATAATTTTCCGTAATGATTCAACGGCCAATTAAATAATATTGCAAAAAAAATTATATATAATTTGTATTTTGTAAATATAATTCCAAACTGTAATAATTTATTTTAATTTCACAATTACGTAATATGCGAATACCTAAATATGTAATATGCGAATACAGATGTCAGATGAAAATTAATACCGTAAAAGGCGATCCTAAAGTTATGAATATCGAAGGTCGAACAAAAATTCTGCCCGTCACCCTTTTACTCAGCATACTATTTTTAAAAATCTGTTATGAGAGAATACTCTGTTATATGTGGAAGTTTTACTAACCAATACTATAATTTGAAAGTTAAATAAATATATAAAATTTAAGATAATCAGAATCACTTGATAATGCGAGCGTGGAATAATCTATATTGACTTGAATATTAATACCGCTGTAATGGACATTGAATTCAAAGCCTCGTTCTTTTTTCTTCCATCCTGCTTTTTCTCTATTCGCTCTCTCTCTCTCTCTCTCTCTCTCTCTCTCTCTCTATATATATATATATATATATATATATATGTGTGTGTGTGTGTGTGTGTGTGCGCGCGCGCGCGCGCGCGTGTGTGTGTATGTGTGTGCGCGCGCGCGTATGTCTATCTCTCTCTTACTCCTACTCTTACCCATCCTTTTTCCTTCCACACATACATAGGCTTTTTCTTTTTCACTCCTGTTCTATTTCTCTTTCATCTTCTTTACATTATACACATCTTGTTGCATTAGTCGTCTCCACTCTTTGTGCTGTGATACGAGTATATTGAAGCGTACATTAAAGCATCAAGTAACATACATGTCACCACATTCATAATATTTTTGCCTGCAAAATTATACTTGATATACACTATTTTCTTAACCAATTAAATATCATTCCTACTAAGTTATATGCTTCTTTACAAATGTCTACGCACTTTTGTTTTCAATTGATAATAATTATCAATAAAAATTCTTTAAGGAATATAATCTCACAGAATAATTATTATAGTATTAATTTAACAGTAATATTGATCTTAACTTTTTATTACTATGCTCTATTATAATAAATAAATCATTTTTGAATGCATTGAAAACCCATACTAAACGGAATATTCATTATCAATTAATTCAATTTTATAAAACAAGTTGAAGTACTTGAGTGAAAAATTTTTAAGTATTTTTAAAGTTATCAAATATTAAAATGTAACGAAATTACGGAAATGTAATGAAATTAAAGCAAGCTGAACCATTTATATATATTTAAAAAATTATAGAATACAATTTTATTGATTTGGTTTATTTATTTTTATGTTATATAATTTTATTTAACATAATTTATCTTTCAACAATTTTTTTTTAGTGCTTGCAGAAATTAAATAAATCAATAGGTTTTAATGCTAATAAATACTTTAAAGAAAAATAAAATATTATTAACGTTATAATTACAATGTTGAACTAAAATTAGAGTCTAATTTGTATACAGACCTATAGAAACCAAATTAAGAATGAATAATGTAGAAGAAATTTTTTTAAGTTATTAACATAATAAAGTAATTTTATAATTAAATTTTTATTCGTTCTATCTGTAATAAAAATACTTAAAAATACCTTAATAAAAGTGTTGAAGTTTTAATGGGCCTATGATTTGACTTTGACAAAACATAAAAAAATCATTATACAATGAAGATATTCATATTCTCAATAGGTATTTCTTTAATAATACATAAAATTAGAATAGATATGTATAAGAAAAAGTAGATTAATAAAATAAATTATTAAACTAAAAACATTACAAAAAATT